GGAGAGAGAGAGAGAGAGAGTCTCTGTGAAAACCTCCTCTCAGTCTGAAGACATTACAAAGAGCTTTCAGTCTGTGACAGTCCAGGTAGCAGAGAGGGATTGTCTCTTTGTCAGAGAGAGAGAGAGACTGACTAACAAAGAGACAGAGGACATGATGTCATAAACACTGTCCCTGATGGGCTTACCTGAGCAGGTGAGAGTCAGGAAGGAGGAAGAGGAACGTGATGCTGCACACTCCCTCAGAGCAGATCCAGACAGAACACAGAGAGAGCTGATCCTCCCACACAGGTCTCTTTGAGAACTCCTCTCTCTCTCCCACAGAAACAGCAGAGCCACAGTCGAGCTCTCTGCAGGCGACTCCTGCTGCCTTCAGGGTCCAGGGAGAGTAACGGTCGTCCACTGGTCTCCATTCTCCCTGATGTTCCACCTCCAGGTCTCCTGCACAGCGACTCTCTCCTCCCACCAGCTGAACACCACCCGGCTCTGGAGAGAAACAAGAGAGTGATCAGAGAGAGAATAAAGTGAGTTTGATGAGAACAGAATGAACCAATCACAGCTCCTCTCTACCTGAGCAGGTGAGGCTAACAGCTGTGCCAGGTGAGCAGGTGTTTCTCTCTGAGGCTGAGCTACAGTCCAGGAGAGCAGACTCATGGCCTCCACACTGGAACTCTTTGGTCCACATTGGAGCCTCCCCTTCTCCATAGAGCGCCCCCTGGAGGACTGAAGGAGCCCCACAGCCCAGCTGCCGGCAGACCACCTGAGCATCCTGCTGGTCAAAGTCAGCCTCACACACTGAGGACCAGGACGGGTTAGACTGGTTAGACTGGTCAGAGTTCACCTCCAGTCTGCCTGAGCACAGACCAGTCCCCCCCAGCAGCCTGACAGAGTCTGCAGAGGACAGAAGGTCAAACAGAGGTCAAAGACACACCATCAAAGAGATGAAACTATATTTCAGAGATTCAAACTGGACTCAGTTCCAACATGAGTTGATGATGAACAACAGAACACATGTTGATAAGAACACAGACTGCAGGTACCCTCACATCTACATCTGATACCCTCTAGCAAGTGGTCTCCATTAGTGAACCCTTCCCCTGTGTCTTCAACCAAACCTCCTCCTCTGCAGACCCTCTGCTCCTTCTGCTCAGGGACCATGACGTGCACAGACATTTGGAGGGGCTATTGCTCTAAACTGGAAAAAGGGCCTCCCCCCCGAAAAGAAATATAAGACCAAAACGATTATTACATGAACTAATTTGAACAGTAATTCACATCATATATTTCTGATCCACACACAAATAAATCCACAAATATATGACTTTAAAAGTGTTAAATGTTGTGCATCAATAACATATTTGTTACATTTCTATAAAAAACACTTTTGTGAGTGGATTTCTGAGACACCCTGAGGCCGCTAGATTCACACATGCATTTGTTCAAGATGGGAGTTTCTGTAGCCAATCAGATGTCTGCATCATGGCCTAACACAAGTGTTCTTAATGCACAAGAGAAACAAGGTGTTCAGACAAACAAACTAACATATAGTATAAAACAGCAGAAAGTACTCATGATACCCTAGAACTCTGTTTACTGTAAGTACAGTCAAAGTACTTAGTTATAATTAAGTACACAAATGACATCACCCATCTCTTAACCCTCCTGTTGTCTTCGGGTCAAATCTGACCCATTTACTACTTTCATCAATCATAACTTTTTTGTTTTACATTCGATTGCATTAAGGCTTTATGATATCCTTCACAGTAGACCTTTGAACATATCAAATGTCTGATCACCACTTTCATTGAGTTTTGGATGATTTAGTCAACTTTGTAACACCCATGGTGTTCAAGGTCAAACATGACCGCCATGAAGAAAAGGAATTAGTAACCATCCAGATCAGATAAAACACACACACACACGCACGCACGCACGCACGCACGCACGCACACACACACACACACACACACACACACACACACACACACACACACACACACACACACACACACCACACACCACACACACACACACACACACACACACACACACACACACACACACACAGGAAATGGTGACAGAGCGTAATAGGGACTTTACAAAGAATGCACTAAGGAAGGCTTTTACCGTTAACCACCAGGCTGTTTGATTAAGATTTGGTTAAAGGAGTTGATTATTTTAAATTATTATTAACATCTAACGGTAATCATATTTCAAGTCAGTTCTGCTGTCCTTGCCTTTTAATCTGGATTCTATTTTAGAAAAAGTTATATAAAAAGACTAATATCTTTGTTTATATTTTTTATTAACAAATACTTTATATATAAAAATGAATGAACAAGAAAAGTAGCTTCACTTCATGATAGCTGGAGGAAAACTTAGATTAGATCTGATGAAAGCCCTGATACACTCATTCAAATCTGGCTAAAACTGTTACAATTTCTTTCACAATTCAACTTAAAATGTAAAATATACATTTTAAATGTTCTTACCAGGCGGTTCTTTGGCAAACACATGTCCCGTCAGACAGAGAAACAGAAGCAGTCTCGTCGCCATCATGTCAAACAGAAACAGGATGCTCCCAGGATCTGCCCAGATCTACTTCCCAGTCTCGATATGTGGCAATTGTTATTTCTCCTTCTGCTGTTTCTGATCTCTCTGTGTGGGTTTTGGTTCCTGTCACATGTTAGGTTACATATCAAGATATGCCTGTAATTAGGCCTTCTGCTGTTTGGCTGTATTTTAATATACCCCACCATTTTTAAAACATGCTTTAACTCATAGAGTGAAACATACTGTAGGTTATCCTAAGATAATGTTTGTCCTACAGTTCATAAATGTGCTAAAGATGTGTTGCGTACAGACTCTTTTACAGTAACCTGCTGTTAGTCAGGCATGCAAGAAAATGGATGTGGAAGAGGAGCTGTTAAATACTGAGGACGAGGCAGAGATCTGAGAGGTGGATGATTATTTCTTAGCTTGAACGGCATAGAATGTCACATTTTGAAGTCAGGATAAAATGTTGCTACAACACTTTTTGAGTCACAGGGTTTTTTCTCTGCTGTCATAATGCACATGCACATTTTTAAGCCGTGAAACATCCATACGTACAGAAAAGCCAAATCCATGTCCGTCATTTGTGATGTTTGTGGTTGTCGTGTGTCCGGTTTGAGTTTCTGATGAAATGTTGCTGTGGTTATCTTTTTAAGTATCTGAACAAGTGTGCCACATGTATGTTGTTTGTGACAGAATCAAATCAAATCAAAAATGTTTAACATGCTTTATTTATTGAAGTCAAACAGGTAACATTCACAATTTATCTGGTGTTTTGGAAATCTTAGACCTAGTCAATACTCAGGAGATATTCAATTAGAATAATCAATCAATAAAATGGTGGAAACAGAGTTGTCTTTCTGGATCTTTATTTGAAGCTTCAAATAAGGCACAGGTCTTACGGAGTACAGAGTATTCTGAAAGAGTGCGCGCAGAGAGAGGAGTGCGCATAGGTTTTATAGCATCTTTGTCAGTTCACAGTTCAACAACACTTCGTGACCTGTCCCTCTGGGAGGGCTGGATGGGCAGATAAGCTAAACCCCACATTCCAGAGGAACAGAAACCATACATTGGCAATGTAGTAAATCAGGAACTTAGCTAAAACAGGAACTGGTTTAAGACAGATGGAAGTGTTGAAAGTTTAACACATTGTGGGTTATATGCCAGGTGCAAGTGAGGACAGCAGGAAGTCATAGAGAGGTCAAAACAGATATAGATAAGAAAGTAGGAACTCCTTGTAAAACAAGGAAAAAACACAGGAACTTGTTTGAGACACTTCTTCACTTTTGCTTACGACCCTGTCTCACCCCCAGACATCCTTAAGGCTAGTTATATGTTGACCAGAGGGCATGGATTAAAATACCTCCTCATGGGACAACTGCATAGCATTTTACCATATTAGGTAACACATAAAGTTAGTTTGCACATCATATAAAGTTTACACTACATATAGAGTTTGCCATTACATATAAAGTTTATAAGTATACACTGTTATAAAGTTTTCCACTACACTGGGTATTAGCATGACTGACATTTAAAGAAGAATCTTTGAGCATGACAGGGTCACGTGCCATCAGATATGTGTCACTTTCGGTGAGTGCTATCCCAAAATGTAGAGTTTTGTGGTTTGGTTTCCTGTTAGAGGAAACTGTTTCAGAAATGTTTTTAAGACAGTATACACAAGGGTGTAACTTTGGTTTGAGAAGTGGGGGGGACACAAAACAGGGGGTCCTCCGCAATGAAAAATGTTCTCAATTTAATTTAATTTCCTGCCTTTCTACAAATATATTAGGGACTATAGTGTTAACAAATCCAAGAAAAATGTGTAGTGTATATAATGAGTGTGCACACTTATCTAGTATCCTATCCATGTGAACCTGTTTTATTTGTGATGACCTCACATCCTCTAGGGGGGTCCGGGGGCATGCACCCCGGGAAGATTTGTTTTCTTTAAATCGAAGCTAAATGCATCAATCTGGTGCACAAATGAAGAGATGTATGGATACAGTTCTCAACACTCATATAAAACAGAACTGTATATATTTCAATACTCCAAAAAACATTAGAATATGCTCACAAGCAATAACAAATCATTGATAAACTCCTCTCTATATCTTTATCTCACCTAGTCTGCTTTCTTTCTTTTTATTTATACATATTTGACTAATCACTCCCCTTTGAAACTGTGTTTTTTTATTTGTGTACTGACCTATAGTACACATTGGAAGGATTTCTTAACTTATTTTATATACAACTAATATTACATAGATGGAAATATGTGTTTACAAAGATGACCAAACCGTTTGAGAGCCACTGAGATAACTAGACTAAAGTTTACAATCTAATCGCTCAGCGAGTTCTTTACCTCCCTGAGCTGACGTTATCTCTCTCAGTCCGACAGGAGAGAGCTCTCCCTCTCCTTATTGTTGAAACAGCTTCCAATTCTCCGTTAGCTCTGAGCTAGCACCAGATGCTAACAACAACCCAATCCTCCGTGACGATGACCGCTTGCGTAAAAAATAAATAATAAACACATTTAAAAAGTGGGGGGGACACAAATGGGATTTTGAAAAGTGGGGGGGACATGTCCCCCCTGTCCCCAGTGGAAATTACGCCCATGAGTATACATACATCTGAGTGTGTGCACAACAAGCAGACACATTGTTAAATCTTATTTATCTAGAAAAAAAATACATATTTACCTATATCTTAATAACCTGTATTACATGCTATGCAATTCTGGGACTAATTCTCTAAGAGGAAGGCTATCATCAGCTTATTAAAATGAACAGATAATTGTGAATGAGTTCATCCTGACAAAATGCATGAAACGCGCTTGTATATTTGGAGTGACAACATCTTGAATAGCAAACAAATTATGCAGAAATCTTACACAAAGTAATAACTGCATTGTGAATTGTAGTTTGTGATATTCACCCAACTACAAGTAGCGCAATTATAATTTTTATTTAATGTAGCAATCAAGAACACGAAATCCCAACATCTGTGACCAACTTTTAACTAGACTCGATATGTGACGTTTTAGCAACAATCAGCTAATCTCAACTCATTTCCTGAGAATTTAAAAGGGTTTTTTTTGCGTACATGTGGTAAAATACTGTGGTATCTTTGCTCTTTTACCGTTTTTCTTTTAATCCGAAAATGTATAGGTTTTTATTGCTTATCTTTGGTACGTTCTCTGTGTAGTCATTCATCAGTTGATGAAATTCAAGTTGTTAATGAAATACCGAAGATGGTGTAGTATATGGTCCACAAATTCATTTCATGTTAAAAAAACTACTCTGTCGAGAGTTCAACTTAGGGTATAAGGCATAGAATGCTATTCATTTCTTATTATAGCTGTGTGTCCCAAAGAGGGAGATACCTATCTAAGTTAAATGGATTTTTGATTACATGATGATCTAAGCCAGGGGTGTCAAACTCAATTTCATCACGGGCCACATCAGCATTATGGTTGCACTCAAAGGGCCGGTTGTAACTTTAAGACTATATCATTAATTAATATAACTTCATAATTAACTACGTCTGAAAGCAGAAGTCTAGAGCAAATAATTGCAAGTCTCTTCAGTAAGAATGTCACAATATGATTTTAAAAGAAAAGCCACATTCTGGAAAAGCATTGATTGTGACATTTTGAAAAAGAGAAGTGACATTTTGAAAAAAAAATCTATTTATGAGAAAAAGCTAATTCTAAGAAAAAAGGCATATTTGGACAAAAAAAGTCAAATTCGGAGAAAAAGTCACATTTGAGATGCATTGTGGGACATGTCGTTTATGGGCAATGTGCTTCTGTAAAGTAGCATGTAACCGTATAATAAACATATTATATTCTTTGCAAGCTCTTGTGGGGCCACATAAAATGAAGTCGCGGGCTGGATTTGGCCCCCGGGCCTTGAGTTTGACACCCCTGATCTAAGCAATTATGGGCCTTGATAATCATGGAAACACTACATGTACGTACAAAAGGTTATATATGAGAAAAATCCACACAAATATCAATACACATCAAAACCATGTTGCTACACTTGATTACTGTAAGTGCCCTGACGATGACGCTGATTTACAATCTCAACAGTCATTTTATTGGGGCCTTTCCTCTGCTTCATTGAGGTTACATTCATTATATCATCTTAGTGAAGCTGTTTTTTTGGATTGATGACTAGACATGATAAGGTTTTTCATTTTTTGGAAGTGTTTCCTTGTACGATGTGAGGGTCTAAGGACAGAGGGTGTCGTATTGTCATACTGATATTCTGTACAAACTGTGAAGTCCACTGAGACAAATGTAACATTTGTGATATTGGGCTATATAAATAAACATTGATTGATTGATGATGAAACTCAGTTGTGTACAAATATTTGTCTCTCAAAAATAAATACTATGCTTAAGGAACAACTAATAGGTGCAAAGGACTTTTTTGTTTTTCAACTGACAGCCATGCTTTAATCAGTGGTTGTAAGGTATGAGAGGAAGTGGAAGTTTAAATGTCCTTTTTTCTGATTTGGAATAGGAACTTCAATCTGTTCTCCTGGGGTAGAGCATACAGACCACTGATAGAGAAAGAGAAAACTTTGCAGTACAGTAAACATTGGCACCTCAAAGTGGTACTTTGCCAGAAGCATATTTTAAAGAGAAACTTACTGTATGTCACTAATAAAAAAGTAACATATCAATGAAGTGATTCAGAGTTTGTAATTTGTTGTAAACAAACTAAAAAGGGATTTTATGATGTTCTTTTGACCTGTAACTACTGCATCAGGTTGTAGGTTTTCTTAAACATGGACAATTTTAATTGAGCCAATTGTTTCTAAGGGTTTCAAACTGATTTCTCCTCATACAGGGAACCTTTTGTATCCATTTTGAGGAGATGTGTCAGTAAAATACAATCTGAATTATAAAGTTTTCAGAAACCCAACCCTGACTGACATGCCTCCTAAACAGAATCCTGCTTCTCCTCCTCAGGTGAGACTGTGGAGGTGGAAGAGGAACAGGAAGTAGGCAGGTCAGATTCGTTCACAGGGATGGAGACGGAGCAGTCGGTTTTGTCGGTGGTGCCGGAGCAGGTGGAGCAGTCAGAGCTCTCGCTGTCAGACTCAGGGACATGGCAGTACTCACGGACAGGACAGGGACGCTCATTGTACTTAAAACTCTCTTTCAGGCCGTTGGGGAACTGAAACCAATCCATTAAAAAAAGAAAAAAACATGTTTGACTTTATTTTGCTTTCACATACAGTATGTCTTGTAGATTTCCTTCAAAGACTGCAGTAGTTTTACTCTGCTGAATGAAACAAATTAGGTTTCAGTAAAATCTTTTTTTGGCAGCAGAGAGTTTTTGATGCTACTAACCTCGACATTATGAAGCTTTGGGGATGGCTTGGGAACCACAGGGATGAAGATGATTCTGATTCTGTATGGAAGGGAGGCACATGTTTATCAGATGATCATATCAACTAATCTACATCACACATACATTGAAAGTTACATTACCAAATGTTAATTTCTTTCCAATCGTAATTGTCATGTACTATTGCTTTAAAGTTCAAAATTATAATTTGAAAATCAATTAATCACCCCATGATGCCTTGAATTTAAGAAATACATTTTTTTTCTCCATTATTGGATTCACCGTTCACCGTGGAGGCACGTGAGAAAAACAAAGTTATCTTCACACATTTTAGGTAACAGGGTGAGTTAGTGCAGTCAAATGCAGTATTCCTTTAAGACAATTGATGTTTTTACATTAAAATACTCACATTAGATTACAGTTCAGGTAAATATTGTTGATAATAACAACAGGGAATGGAGGAGATATAAGTAACCAATGCTGATACTCTGTGGTACATTATAACCCCATTACACATAACACATGACCCACCTTTCATGGTGTAGCAACATCATGACCAGTAGGATGAGGATGAAAGCACCCAACCCATACAGCACTGGAGTCCACACAGACATCGAGCTGTCTGTGAGTGTGAGAAAGACAAAGGAAGGTTTTAGTTGTTTCATTAAACTGCACATTTACTGTGTTGTTCACATGCAGAGCAACAGTTTCAGATAGTATAAATCACCTTTGATGTTTAACCATGTGTAAAATGGTGAAAATAGTTATAGAGATTCAACGAGGAGGTTGCTCTTAAGAGTGAGGAACATAATTATAAACAAGTCATTAACAAAAAGAAAGAGTTATATCACAGAACCATAAAACAATAAAACATGAACAGTGATACCACTAAAATGACCCCAAATGAAAAAGACAGTTCTTTAATTTACTTTCAAAAAATCCAATGGAGTTAGCTGTTCTGAGATCCAATGGAAGGCTGTTCCACAGTTTGGGGCCATAAAAACAGAAAGCAGCCTCTTGTAAAATACTTGAGGTACTTCTAAAAGAAAGACATTGGAGGATCTGAGTGTCCTTGTAGGTTTGTAAAATGAAAGGCAGTCACTGTTGTACAGTATGTAGGGGCCAGGTTATGTTCATTCTGAAACACACAGCTATCCAATGCAGTGATGCCAGCACAGGGGAAATGTGATCCCTTTTTTATGTATTTGGCAAAATCCTGGCCGCAGCATTCTGAATTAATTAAAATTTCGTTAAAGATTTTTCAGGGAGATCAGTTAAAAGAAAATTGCAGCACTCCAAGCGACAAATAATAAAAGCTTGTAAAACCATTTTAGCAGCATTCTGATTAAAACATTGTCAGATCCTGGCAATGTTCCTCTGGTGGAAAAATTAAGTTTTTGCAACCTTGTTAAAATGTATTAAAAAAATTAAGACCACAGTCTAAAATTACCCCAAGATTGGTAACTTGTGTTTTTCATCGGCGTAACAGTGATATTCAACATTGTAATGGTTTGTTAGTTTGCCCAGAGGGAGCATGTATAATGAGAAGAGAAAAGGGCCCAGATGGATTCCTTGAGGAACTCCATATTCAATATCAAAGTCTCCCAAACTTACAAAATGTTTCTGTCAGACAGGTATGAGTATAGCCATCCAAGGGCTGTCCCCGAGAGACCCTCCCATTTCTCAAGACGGTTCATTCAAATACTGTGATCGATTGTGTCAAATGCTGCACTCAAATCTAACAAAAAGAGGACAGCTACATTGTTTGAATCCATTAGAGTTTTTAGGTCATTTTTAATAAAGCTGTTTCAGTGCTGTGGTTTGTTCGATAGCCAGACTGGAATTCATCTAAAATGTCATTGGTGTTAAGATGATGGAGTAATTGGTTGAAAATCTTCTCAAGGAGTTTGCTTAGAAAAGGAAGATTAGAAATAGGCCTGTAATGAGATAAATCACCAATGTCCAAATCTGGCTTCTTGAGCCGAGGTTTTACCAAAGATGTTTTAAAAGCAGAAAGGAAAATACCAGATTGCAGAAACATGTTGATTATTCTTGTCCTTTCTTAAGACAGGCACTGAAAGCTGGATTAAAACAATTTGGTTGGGACAGGTCAAGGGAGCATGTTGATGAATTCTTTTTTGTTGATAGCAGCACCAATTTCATCAAGGCTCACTGCCTGGTAGATCCCAAGGAGGTGTAAGATATGTGTTTTTTTTAATACTGGATCGAATAGTCTCTATTTTTGTTTTAAAAAATGATGCAAATTCCTCACATTTAATATTGGAGGCATGATCATTTAAATCAGATGCTGGGGATGGGTTTTAGAGAGAGTCAATTGTGGAGAGGAGGACTCTTGGCTTACAGTATGTTTGTTGTCAGAGACGATCCTTGCAATGATTTTAATGTAATAGAATATCTATTACTGGCCCCTCAACTACAGCCCTGGCTTTGAAAACTCATTTACCAAGGAACAAACAAAAAAGTGTCTACTTTCACTACAAATGGTTGTCAAAAGGTCAATACCACACGTCGGTATTCATTAAACAGATGTTTAGTCCTGTCATGCCCAATAATCAGAATATGTTTATTGTTTATATTTGATAAGAAATAAATCAAAGACAAATCAGGTGAAAGTTTTGGCTTTTTTTTTCTTTTTACTAAAAGGTTCTGTGCTTAAGACAGTTTATGGTTACCAGTAGCATGAGTGATTCCTTCATTCTTCAGTACAGGCTACTTTAAGTGACTTGAAATAGGTCTAAACATGTACAGTTTACCTGTGCTGCTGTTTTTGGAGGCCCAGAACACAGGCTCACTCCAGTCGCTCCAGAGAGATTCTTTACCGCCTCCATATGTATTGTGTAATTTGCTCTGCACCTGCAGCTCATACAAGGCGCTGGAGGGCAAGTTGATGCAGTAATTCTGAATCCCAGCACACACATAATATGGTTTCTGTGGAAACAAAGATTGAGTTGATAAAGAGATGTGGGACAAAAAATAAGACTATGAAACAAAGGATCTTTCTTTAAAAATGCCTACCATCCACGGCTTGTTGTTGATCCTGTAGCGAACTTGACTCTCCACTTTCCCATGAGAAATCTGGGTCCAGTTGAGCCACAGGTTCGAGTCCAATCCATACTGGACAGTCACGTTGGTGGGAGGATTGAACTTGACTAGAAAACAAAACAGACCATTCAATGATACAGTATAAACGATTTTAATACTTTTTTTTGGTCAAAATACTATCATTTTCTTTAATTAAATGATACAATTAAGTTACAGTTGTGCTTAATTTCCCAATAAAACTGCCTGCCTTCAATATTTGATTTCAAATAGTATCTTCAGAGGATGAGCCCCAGTAAATATGCTTACCTTTTTCTTTGAGACGATGCGTCGTTTCATTACTGTCGTTTCCCAGTTTGGTGTAAAAGTTGTTGAACCTTTCAGCTTCTTTTTGTAAATAGGGCTGTTTGCATCCAGTGTTTATGCTGTTCTCTGAAAGATAGCTGGGGCACTCTCTGGGTGGTTTGTTGAACCTGTAAATAAATCACTATTTATACATTCACATACAAATCAATGGATGGTGCTGATGTTTTTGTCTATAACTGTACATTCAGAAACCAGTGCCTGTACAGCAGATCATAAATAAATTACAATGTCAACTTTTTATATTTTACGTTAGTCCAAGATTTCACTCTTCTTCAGAGATAAAAAAGAAGGTGTTTGAGAGTGTCAGGGTCACTGTCAGTAATTACGAACCAGCTATAGAAGGTGTAATTGACCTCTGGAGTCCGGTTCTCATTCCAGGAACAGTGAATATATTCCAGATGAAACACTAAACAATCCACATCTGTCAGAGAAACAAGAAGGTTGAGATAAGTAGAACACACACACACACACACACACACACACACACACACACACACACACACACACACACAAACACACACACACACACACACACTGAAGTAAAAAGATATGATTCTACACTGTATTGAAGTAAACATGTATAATTTGAACTGTTTTAGGTAATCACAGACGGGTTTTGATAATCACCAAATAGGAATGTTATTCTCACTTTCAAACTCACTGACCCAGAGATTCTGTGTCACACACCAACCTTGCCTGTATCACCCCTAAAAGCCAGATACTGTTTTTAAGTCGTTAAAGACATCGTTAAATAGGTGAAGAACTGATAGGAAGGGAATGTGGTGTAGATAGGGTGGAGATAAATGTTGACTTTTGACCTGGTGAAATTTAGGATCTCACTCTCTGTTCGGAACTCTGATTGACCTCGACCAGAAGTGAATCCAGCCAATCAGGACACTTGGGGGAGGTGATCAGCTTACACAGCTCCTCCTCACGGAACTCTGATTCGCTTGGGAGGAAAATGGGAAGGAAGAGTCGACGGATCTCCGCCCCAAAAATAGATATGAATACTGATGTTTTTGAGTGTAAAAATGCTTTTTGGTTTGGTGAGTTTGTTGGTCCCGATATCTGTGTCCGCATCGCATCACAAACCTGAAGTCCAATTTCTTTTTGGTTTGATGAGTGGATGGTCCTGACACCTTTATCCGCATCGCATCACAAATCTGAAGTCCGGAGTACTCTGTATAACTTGTATACTTGTTCTATTTCCTACCAGTAAACTCAGATAATTGTTATAACTTTTGAATCCGGTGTTTTCAATTCCTTTCTTAATTTAATAGAGATCCAGCCTCATCCAACGAACGGCGCGTAGCAGAGGTGTTCTGCTCCAACAAGTGGTGACTTTCCCGACGTGGAGTGCTGATCTCTAGAAAGGAACACCGATAGCCAGGGGACAGAATCCAGTCCAGGGGGAGGACACAGAGATACTGGTGACAACTAAGACCATGGCAATATACAAAAGGTGAGCAGACACCTGTTTTGACTATCAAAAATCTGTGATTGATTATACTAAAAAATTTAGAGTTGTCAGCAGCGTTCTCAGTGTTCTTAGTCACGGTGGGAAATACAATACATATTACAAGTTGGGGATATTGGGGAAGTGCTTAGAGAAGGGTATTCAGTCCTGGACCTAGAGCAAAAATAGTGTTTGAGAGAGGCGGGTAGATAAGTCCCGGCCCTTCACTCACTAAATACGAAGACTGTAAGGCTGTAAAAGAAGTATAGGTTAAATTCCCCGTAAGTCAAAATAACATTGATTAATACGGTTGCTTTACAGTGCTTTAATTAAAGACTACGAAGGTGTAAAAAACAGAAGGGTTAAATTCCCCGCAGATCATGATAAGATTGATTAATGCGGTTACCTTTCGTGGTGCTTTAAATGTATAACATTTCTGTAATTGTTATATGGTGGGTGATAGAGGAGGAGAGAGACGCGACCTCCAACTAATTATTTGGAACGACCGAATCTCATCACAAAACTGTTGTGGGGATAATCAGGCTCATTAAACGTGACGATAAAGAGATTTTGTTGACTGAGTTTTAACTCCTGGCCTGAAGTCGCAATCGCCGTGAGGGGATTGTAGAAGCTTGCTTCTGGAAGTCACGCTATCTGTTGAAATAAACATCGCACAATAAAAATTTGCCTGACTGTAATATGATAAGGTATGAAAAGCTCTGTGTGATTTTTTAAGTCAAATCTGTGTAATACTTGAGAGACAAATCCAGTAAAAAGAACTGTGGGTAAAGAATTGCAGAAGACATAGAGACAGAGAGCAACAAGCAGGTGGTATAATGTCTGAGACCCTACCTCCACCCTACGGAGATAATAGATCACAAATGCCACTTATGAGTATCCCATCTAATACTCCTAAAAGAAAACACATTGTTAGACCTGATATTCAGGGAAAAGGAATGTTGGAAATAGTAATGGTAGATATTGAAAATCTTAAACTGGATCAACCAACCATGTTAGTGAACCCTGCTAATATGGAGCTAAAACATGTAGAAAGAGAATTAGGTCCTAGCATGCAAGCACAGAGCGATAATATGATAAGGACTATTAAACTGACCCCTTTTTGGAAATGGGATTTTCCGTTACACAACAGAAGACTCAATTCAGGCCTTAAAGAACGCTTTACAAATAAGTCAGGGAGAGTTTGATGTGGTGCTATGTTGCTCATGAGGGAGCTTACACTTTTGGGAAGAGATCTCCCCCTTTCTCTGCTCCTGAGGTGCTGCAGACTCACAGCAGCATACAGGGTCAAAGACAGGCATGACCTCTGGAGAGGAAGAAAATCTAAATCTGAACAGACCACAGAGCCCATTAAAAGGTTTTATGGCCTCAACACAGAGAGGAAGATCTGGAGATTGTAAGGAACTCTCCCAAACTACTCACCCCCACCCCAGAACAAGGGGAAGAGTTTTGCTCTCACCAATAAACAAATCATCTCTTAACCAAGTCAGATTTCAAAATAGCCATAGCTCCAGTTGTTAAGAAAAGAGGGAGATTCAAAAAGTTATCAATAATTGCCCAGTATATTAAATAAATACAAACGAACACGTATCAATATAAGTCAGATAATATAGACGAGGTCAATCATGAAAGAAGGCTGACATTTAATGCCTGATATATAAGTGATAGTAATAATAAATATATAGCTGATATTAAATAACTGATGTATGAGGCTCGATATTTCTGAAAATAAGAACACCGTTAACGGCGTTCTATTTCAGAAAAAGGGGGGAAAAGGATAGGATATACATCAGACAATATGTATGTGAGATTATTACGTTTTTAGGAGAAATTTATCAATTTAAAATACTAGTTTTGGTATTTTTTGTTTTGTTTTATTTGTTGCTTTTAAGAGAAATTGATACATTTAAAATAATCTAGCTTTGGTTATTTTTTGTTTTGTTAGTTTGTTCCTTTTTTGTTTTATTTTTATTTTTGTTCTATTTTTTATTTTTATTTTTTATTTTTTATTTTTATTTTTTGTTTATTATTTTCTGCATAGTCTCTTGTCCACACTCCAGTCTAGTTGGTGCCGCCAATAAACACTAAAGAAGTAGAAGAGATGATTTCAAAACCATATTTCCAGCAACTTAAGGGCTTGGTATGAGACTCCTCCACACAGGTTGCTGACGCCAAAAGGGGGACCCGAGAAACACAAGGCCAACACAGCAGATTACGTCTGGTTGAAGGGGACCTCCCATGCCGTCCGCCTAGATGGAAAGGGAGACAACTGGTACCACTGGAGCCAGTGTGCGGTCGGGAAAAACACCTGCGAGGACCCTAGACGACATCAGGACAGAGTTGGCCCTCGTCGCGAGGACCCTAGACGACATCAGGACAGAGTTGGCCCTCGTCGCGAGGAGCCTAGACGACATCAGAACAGATCTGGCTCTCGTCAAGGCAGTCGACCCAGGAGGCGCCATCAGCGGACCAGAGGAGGAGGATCGGGACATCTCTCAAGCATCGACCCGGAGGCCGCCATCAGCGGGCCGGGGGAGAACAATCAGGCCACATCTCTCTAGCAGGCACCCCAGAAGCCGCCGTCAGCGGGCTGGGGGGACGAAGACATGGCAAACCAAGACGGCACAGGGAACTCCATTTCCCGCTGAAACAGGTTGATATAGCCGGTGTGGAACTTTGTCTGAACAATCCATTTTTTGAGGAACTTTCAACTTTATTTTTATATCCCATAAAAAGGGATTTGTATTTTTTATTCTACAGAACTATGTGTTACCAAAAGAGGGAAAAGTATGATAATGTCTTTTCTAATTTCTGTGGCTATTTTTATTGCCATTTTAGTGACATGTGGTTGTTGTTGTGTGCCTTGTATCTGCTCATTGTGTGTTAGACTCATCAGTTCCACCATTGAGGGAAGAGTAAAGATGACTCAGCTGACAAGGACTTTGCTTTTTAGACATATTTTATTCTCCCTCCACTGTCATAATAAGTTGTTGTTGTGGACTGTTCTTAAAGGTTTAAAGTGCTCTATATCCCAGCTTCTGATGGGTTTATATAAATGTTGGGACAGACACAGTAAGAAAAAAGAATGACAGTGGTAATGTTTCAAATGCTATATGTTGATCTCGTGAGGTGAGATCAAAAGAGGGATTGAAGTAAAAAGATATGATTCTACACTGTATTGAAGTAAACATGTATAATTTGAACTGTTTTAGGTAATCACAAACGGGTTTTGATAATCACCAAATAGGAATGTTATTCTCACTTTCAAACTCACTGACCCAGAGATTCTGTGTCACACACCAACCTTGCCTGTATCACCCCTAAAAGCCAGATGCTGTTTTTAAGTCGTTAAAGACATCGTTAAATAGGTGAAGAACTGATAGGAAGGGAATGTGGTGTAGATAGGGTGGAGATAAACGTTGACTTTTGACCTGGTGAAATTTAGGATCTCACTCTCTGTTCGGAACTCTGATTGACCTCGACCAGAAGTGAATCCAGCCAATCAGGACACTTGGGGGAGGTGATCAGCTTACACAGCTCCTCCTCACGGAACTCTGATTCGCTTGGGAGGAAAATGGGAAGGAAGAGTCGACTGATCTCCGCCCCAAAAATAGATATGAATACTGATGTTTTTGAGTGTAAAAATGCTTTTTGGTTTGGGGAGTTTGTTGGTCCTGATATCTGTGTCCGCATCGCATCACAAACCTGAAGTCCAATTTCTTTTTGGTTTGATGAGTGGATGGTCCTGACACCTTTATCCGCATCGCATCACAAATCTGAAGTCCGGAGTACTCTGTATAACTTGTATACTTGTTCTATTTCCTACCAGTAAACTCAGATAATTGTTATAACTTTTGATTCCGGTGTTTTCAATTCCTTTCTTAATTTAATAGAGATCCAGCCTCATCCAACGAACGGCGCGTAGCAGAGGTGTTTTGCTCCAACAACACACACACACACACACACACACAATTGCACAACTGACCCACTCTCTAAAGACACTCTCTCTAGGCGGCAGCGCGGCCTCCGGAGAAAACAACTCGTAATGTCTGAATATAAAAACGATGAAGGGGAGATCAATAAAATAAATATTTACCCAAAGAAAATTGTGTGTGTGAGTGTGTGTGTGTGTGTGTGTGTGTGTGTGTGTGTGTGTGTGTGTGTGTGTGTGTGTGTGTGTGTGTGTGTGTGTGTGTGTGTGTGTGTGTGTGTGTGCGCCCGGTCTACAGAGAGGGCCCACTAACCCGTCATGTAGATAAGATCAACAGCATGGCCAACATCACTGCGTAGAGACACAGAAATAAAGAGCAGCATAGAAACCACGTTTGAAACTCCGTGTGCACGGCGGCACGATCACTGGGAACACAGCACTCAGGAGCAAGGCACACATTCACATTAACTAAACAAAGCAGCTTTGCTTGGGCCTTCAACTTGGGCAACCGCTGTGTGTGTATCTT